AAGTGTCTTAATTATAGATTTAGAAACTAGATTAATAATTAATTAAATCTAAAACGATATTATTCTAATTAATATATTATGGCTATTATTATAAACAAATTTAGTTATTTTTAATAATATTAGTTATCTCTTAATCTCTATATCTATAAAATATCTTAGATAAGTTTTAATAGTTTGATTTATTTATTTAGTTTAGCTATTAATTTAAAGATAGAATATTATTAAAAAACGGTTTTTAACTGTTATTAGAAAATAGAATCTTGTGAAAAAACGACTTATAAAAATAGTTTCTTTATTAGAGATAATTTTATTAAAAGATCTTTATTAGAGTTTAATATAATAATAGAAAATATCTATAAGCTTTATTATATCTATTATAGTTTAAATAAATAAAAATATATATTATTTTAAATATCTATTTATAACAATTAGAATTATATTAATAATAAAGTAATTCTAAATTAATAAAAATAAATCTATAATAAAGTCTATTAAAACTTTTAAAAATAGTCTTTTTAATAAGAATAATAACTATAATTTCTTATAAAGCCTATATTAAGATATCTTTACTATCTAATAGACTTTATAAGTCTAGATATATTCTTTAATATCATTAAATATTCCTATCTAATAATAGTATTATTTTAGTAACTCTTTAATCCTAAATTAACTAAAATAACCTATAATAAGATTATTATAATATATTTATAATAATTTAGTTTAAAAGCTATCTATCTAAAATACAAATATTCTTCTATAATATATAAATAGACTAGATATCTAAATAAAATATCTTTTATCCTTTAGATCTAATTCTATCTTTTTTAGATACTAGATCTTAGGATCTTTGTATTATAAATATTTAATCTATTTAATTAAATCTTTATTAGTTTTCTAATTAACAGATTAAATCTTTACTAATTTAGTATATTAAAGGTTTTATTAGATATCTAAATTATTGTAAAGTTCTCTTTACTTAGCTATCTTAATTAAATTAGACTAGATTTTCTAGCTATTTATATCTATTAATATATTAATTTAATTTTAATCCTTTAAATTATATCTTATAACTTCAAGATTATCTATATCTAGATATTAATTTATATTTCTATTACTTATAATTATTATTTCTTTATTTAATATTACTATTTTAAGAGATTTAAAACTAAAATATTCTTAAATTATAGCTATTAATTCCTTTTCTAAAGTAGTTTCTTTAGAATTTAAGATCTTTAATAATCTATCTATTAGATTTATCTTTTCTAATCTATATTTAATAATAAAGTTAAAAAATATTAAATATATATACTATTATATTTAATAATTTATAAACTTCTACTATATTATAAAAGTCTATAGATTTATATAATCCAAGAATACTTTAATTAGAAATCAGATCTTATCTAGATAATATCTCTATTACTTAAAAAGAAAATAATAATAAATAACTCTTAATCTAATATTATATAGTTCAATTTAAATCTTATAAACTTTTATAACCAAAAGATAACTAGACCTGGCAGTGGCCTTCCAGGTGGTCCATAACTTTAGACCCTTCACCCGCCTCTCCGAGGTTCAGGGTCGCTTATAAGCGACCCTAACCTTAACCCTAGTTCTATGAGGGTCATATACAGGTGACCCTTAATCACCTATAACGACCTTTGGATACATAAATTTCTAGTGCTAAACCTAATGTAGATGGATAAAACTATTTATTTATCTTGATAAAATACTATTATTTATATCTGTTTTGTCTATTAGACTATAAATACTAACTTTTAACTATTAAAGTTATAAAATATTTTAAATTGTTTCAATAATATTGTTTTTTAATAATAGTTCTATTACTTTTATACTTCTTTTATATTATATAACTATAGGAAAGAGATTTAATAAATAGTGAAAATTATTAGTCTATAATAAAATAGAAATATATATCTATAATATATATTATATTAATTAAAAGATTTATTAGGAGTCTAAGATTTACTAAAGGTTAGAATAAGGTTTATAAAAGATCTATAAGGGTTATTTAAAGTTAAAATAAGGTTTATAAAGAGTTTATAAGGTTTGTTAAAGATTAAAATAAGGGTTATAAAGGGTCTATAAAGTTCATTAAAGGTCAAAATAAAGTTTATAAAGGGTCTATAAGATTTGTTAAAAGTGATCTATAAGTTTGTTGAGATTTATTATAAATAACTTATAATAAATTAACTAATAATAATAGTTTATTTAAAAATATAATATATTAATTTAGTAAATTGTATATTTATGTCTTTTATACTTGACTTTAAGAAAATAATTAACTATAGATTATCTACTTCTTATTATCTTTTTATTTATATATCTATATTAAATATATTATAATTTTCTAATACTTATACTTCTTCAAACTATAAGGAGGTACTATTAGATACTTTTTAATATCTTATTCTAGACAATATTTTATTTATAACCCTTTATATATTAGATAGTTAATAAACCTTGATATTAATATATAATAATTCTCAATTTACTTCTTCAAACTCTTTATAATATTTATCTTTATTTTTCTCTATTATAATATTTAATCTCAACTATATTAATTCTTTTATCTTATATAGTAATATAATAAATAAAGAATTTATTAAATAGTAGCTTTAAATAGAATTTAGGAAATCTAAGTATATTAACTAGGATATATATTATTAAGTTAAATATTAGAACTCTTTTAATTAAGTGGTGAATATAAAAAATAGGAAGCTAGATATAATATATAAATAATATTAAAAGGTTTTTAATCATTCTATAACTATTTATATAAGTATTTTATCTATAAACAAATATTAGAAAGAAATTAATTATATAAAATTCATATTAAGAAGATTAAATATTAAGACTTTATTTAAGATAGCTATATATTATTTTTCTTAATATTATCTGCTTTATTAATCTATATATAGATATTAAATATATTAACTTTTATATTTTTATAGGATATTTAGAAACAGAAGCTATTAAATCTTATTATTATATTATATCTTCTATTTTTATTCTTTAAATATTAGGAGTTTATTAATATAATTAAATATATATATCTTATTTTAACTATATTTATTATTCTTTTATAATATATTATTTATAAATAGTTAAAAAGATTTATTACTAAATACTAAAAAAGATTACTTTAAAATCTACTACTAAAAATAAAGTATTTTTTTATATTAGACTATTAGATATTACTATTTTAGCAAATATTTATAGTAGTTATAAGCTACTTTCTAGATAAAAAATAAGAATATTAAAAGGTTTTTCTTAGCTTTAAGCTACTCTTTGATATTTATTTTAGTATAAATCTTAATAAAGTTATTATTTGAATATTATAAAAATATAATATTCTTAATTGAATATTTGTAATTATTACTAATAATATTTTAAATAATATAATATTAGTTTAAACAATAAACGACTTAGTAAAGACTATTTAATTAAATATTAATTCTATTATTATCTGTATACTATATATTACTTATATTATCCAAATAAGTCTTATAGATTTATTTAAAAAGATAAAAATATCTTTAAATAATAATACTATTAAACTAAATTAATCTAATAATTATATAAGAGCGCTATATATATATCAAAGAAAACATAATATTATAAATATCTTTAATAAAATAAGATAAGTTGATTTCTTAATATTATTTCTATATATTAATTATTAATCTAGATTTATAATCTTATTATTTATATTAATATAAGCCTATAATATTAAGATATATTCTATACCTTTTAAGATTAAAAGTCTAAATCTATTCTAATCTAGGATATAAGAATATAATAGAACTTAATATTTCTAATATTTTAATAAATAAAAAGACTATAGTTAGTCTTTAATATATTCTATTTATAATATAAACAATCTTATTTTATATTAAACTTAGGAGAATAAAGATAGATTAAATATCTATTTTTTATTTTTAAGCTATTCTTTAGATTTATTAATTTTATATTATAGATTAAAAACTTAAATATTTATTTTATTTTTATAATATATAATTATCTTTTTAACTATTTTAAATATATAATTATTATATTAAGATAAAAGAAAATTCTTTAGAAATAACTTCTATAATCTATATTTAAAGTTATATTAAAAAAGTTTTTAAAATATTATAAAGATATAGATAGTATTAATAGATATCTTTATATTATTAATATAATTTTATCTCTATTTTAAAAGCTTCAATTCTTTTCTATAAAAGAATAGGAATCTAAAGATTCTATTAAAACTTTTTAAAAAGATATTTATAAAGATAATCTTAAGATCTAAATTAAATGTTATAAAAAGTAGCTTAATATTAGATAGAATTAGTTATTATTAAATAGTTTATTATTAAAAATTAGAATATCTAAGTTTAAATTTATATTAAAGTTAAATAACTCTTTATAATTTAATATACTAGATAAGAATAAGCTAACTTAATACCTAAATATTAATTAATCTTAATATCTATCTTTATTTATTATATCTAACTAACTTTTATATAAATCTAGTATTATAATATTTATTATTTTATACTAGATTTAACGATGTGACGGTTAGATGGCTGCCGGAAAGGGCTGCTCCTGCCGCCATTTTACGAGTCTTGCTAACCAGTCTCGGCCTTGGCATCGAGCGTGCCAACCCCCACGGCTCCGTTTTTTACTTCCACGCAGCACGCTCGGTTCCTGACGCTAGCGGCTAGCCCGTTGCTCCCTCTCGTTCGTTCCTCACCCACCTGGAGGCTCACATTGCAAAATGAAGGAGCCATTTCTGGCTCCCTTTCACACCACCATGTTCTTTCTGGTTCCGAGTCCCACCACGGCGACCGTGGCCTTCTTAAGTCCCCTCCCTCCCTCTCGCCTTCCGTCCATTTCACTTCGCTCCTAAATCCAGATCACCATTCCCTCCCCAGCCTCGTTTTATCTCTTCAGTCTTCCCTAACGCAACATCTGCCTTGCGAGCCATTCTCCCCATGACGCCTCGCTGCCGATCGATCGGGCCTATCGAGAGTGAGAGTCAAAATGAAAGCGATGCAGACTCCGACGGGAGCGCGATCTTTACGGACAACGGATCTGAAAAAGATTCCGACAGTGAATCGGAACCCGACGGGGACGATACAGATAATGAGAGTGACTCCGGCGATGAATCGTTCAATGATGAGGGTCAGCTGCCCCCTGAACACTATTTGGCTGAAGCAGAGGGCTTGGACGTCTCTCAACTTCGACAGAAGCGTTATAGTGATGGTACTCAGGAGAAACTCGATCAAACCACTGTGTACTGGAACAGGTTGGCTGCCTTTTCACCGGAATCTTTTACCGAAAACTAACCAGTGGTCTCCTGGCAGGTATTGTGAACACCTCAACCTCAATCCTCTGAAGCACTGGCAATGGATTTCAGACTCGGATGACACGGTCCGTTTCTTGTATCAATTTTTCGCTTGGCGATGTGATATTCGGCGGGGTAAAAATGGTCGACACTGCCCGGGTATCAAATACAAGAGCTCGCTTGAGTCATTCTGGAAGTGGTGGCACCTCATTCTTAAACAAGAGACGGCGTCCGGCCTGGCCAAGGAGACGATTATCAAAGTTCAAGATGTAAGCAATCAACTGGAACCTTTCACACTGACTAGAAAGTAACGCTTGCTGATTGTCTATAGATCATTGCGCTAGTAGCCCAACAGAAAGGTCTTGAGCTCACACGACGGCCGAAGAAAAATATGTATATTGAAGACGTCGCTGAGTTCGCTCGTGTACTCTTGACCACCACAGAGACAACATTTGATTGTGGCTGGCAGCGCATCCAGGTCCTTCTTTTCTGCCAACTCGCAGCCATTACTGCAAGCCGCCCGGGCGCTCTTCTTGGCCTTCGCTACCGCGACATCGTGCTGACGTTGATTCGAGATCCAGAAGGAGGACGCCCGCGACTCTTCATCTATCTAACTCCCGAGTTTACGAAGAGGTTTCTTGGAAAGAAGGCCCCGTGGGTTCCCTCATCTTTCTATCATGAGGTTGGAGACAATCTGGCTAACTAATAAAGAAATGAGTTCAAAATCCCAGAAATAATTTTCGACCCCACTTTGGCCCTCAGTCCACATGTCTGCCTGCTGGGCATGCTCTTTCATATAAAAGGCTTCAAGACGAGATCCTCGACTGGACCGGTACTGGATTGCCCGGAGAATCTCTATCGCCTTCGAGTTTTAGAAGGCTTGGGACAGCAACAGCTGATTTTGAAGGGCGAGATCTTGGACAAATTTGTTTTCTGCCAGGTTACCCGGGATGTCACCGGATATCGAATCGACTTAGAGAAACAAATGACGTCATCGATGGTGCGATCTCGCATGCGCCGGGTGGGCGAAATTACAGGCATGGAACTCATTAAGCCATATAATCTCCGATATGCCGGGGCCAAGGCTTTTAACAAAAGTGGTATGTGTCCCTCGGGTCCAATAACTTCCAGATAGCTAACTGTTCGAGCAGAGGAGGTAACAGATGCCCTACAGAACGTCATGTTGCAGCACTCGGACATTCGCACTTTCATCCGACATTATGAAGTGGATGTCGATGTCGACGTTCAGGGCATTGTGCGGAAGACCGGGTCTCAAACTCCGCTGGTACGATTTGCTTGTTCGTTGAGTGCGTCGATTGACCCAGATAGGCCCTTTAAGCTCTCAACCGAGGAATCTAGGTCCCTTAACGACCTTCCAGTTGTTCGCGAAGAGCAGGGCAAGGTTGACGAACGGAAGCGCAAGTGGGAAGATCGCCAAGCCAAAAGCGAATGCGCTGAACAGGCATATCAAACCACCTTCGGCCATCTTGAAGAAGGCACAATTTCCGAGCACCAGCAAAAGTCTCAGAAGAAGCTGAGAGCCGTCCAAGATCGGGCAGCGGAAGCTAAGCGGAAGTTCAACAGGGCTGTTCGTGAACTACGCAACCAGAAGCAGCGACAACGGAACAAACGAATTCGTGTGAATTTGGAGCGATACAAGAACGAACAACCTGTTATTGACCTGGAGCGACAGCTGGCAGGAAAGTTGGTGGATAGAAAGGTAATGGGGGCATTGGAACACACCAGTTCAATGCCCTCGGAGTTCGTGATGGTGATTGACACCATGCTCACTGTGCCGGGTGCAACTGTGGAGGCGGAGTATCAACGTCGGATCAATGCGATAAAAGCAGTGACCGCTTTCTGTGGCGTTGAAGAAGGACGTCCTACGCCTCGGCTAACCCAATTTCGTCGCCGGCTTGCCTCCGACGACATTTCTTTTCCCCCTACGAAACGGCAACGTTGCTCAGAAGAAGAAAAGACTGACGCCATTCTTCACCAAGCGATCCAGTCTGTACGGATTAATTCTCACGAAGACCGACCTACCATCTGCTTTCTCTGTGTCGGGAATCCTAGTCTTTCGATCAAGGACCGAGTCAAAAAATATGCAACATCAGGCTCGCTAACAAGGCATTTTCTTCGCAAGCATGTGAACCCTCCCTGGCCTCTCAAGGGAGTTGCTTGTAATGTTTGTGACAATCTGTCTCTTGAACGGAAATCAATACTTTTGAACCACGCGAAGGATGTTCATGGGACAGTTGTGGGAGGTCGCGCTCAGGGGAAGCTTGCGCTCCAGTTGAATACTACAACATTTGATAGTGCAGCATGCCGACATTGGCAACATCTTTAGGCCCTCCAAGATTAGGGAAATGTTTCACTTTCACTACTACTTACATTGGTACTCAATAATACTCCTTTTCCGCTTCACCCTCCTCCTTTCTTTTATCGCTCGACTCCTGAATTGTATCGGTCGATATCTGATGGGCATCTTGGCTTGTAGGTTTACATCTAAAATGGGGTTTAGGAGGCCATATTTTTTTTTTCGGCTGTATCCGAGACTTTACAAATAACGACTCATAAATCCCTCGTAGACGTAATACATGAAAAGCTCACCGATTCACCAAAAGCCCCTGCCAATTCTGATCAATTTCGGCTCAGACCTAGTAAGTATAGATTTATACAGGATCGGACCGTGATTTTGTAGCAACGCTTTGTTTATAGCATTCAGCGACATCACGTACAAGCAGATCAACCCCTTTAGTCCTGGATTCTGGAATATCTGCGCGACATTGTTGGTTGCACTTAGCGTGATTCTGCGCAGTGTATTGTAGTAGGTGTGGCATGTGCGACTACAGTTGCCCCCGCTTCAATAAGGGCGCTACATAGTTGATTTCCTCTGCCACTTCTTGGCTTTCCCTTTCCATTTTAGTGCTCAGTGCTTGCCGCTTTTTGCTCACTGAGCACAACTGAGCACGCCCCTGCGTATTACATAATCATTGAGCTCGCTCACTGAGCATCACCTGATCGTTACATAAGCCGGATGACTCGCTCACTGAGCGAATCCTGAGCGCTCTGATTTGCTCACTGAGCAGCCTGATCTTACTCACTGACCATGACCTGAGCGCTCTGACTAGCTCACTGAGCATAACCCTGAGCAGCCTGATCCACTTACTGCGCACGACCTGAGCAAAGCGTGGGAGCAGCTAAGTCAGCAGCTTACCTCAATAAAATGCACCACTTTAGCCCATCCAAATGCAGTTGTTCACCAGAACTCTTGACCGTTGTCCCCTCAACGAAAGGCTGGCGTCATCAATTTTTCGGTCGATCCTGGTCGTTTCGCCTTCAGCTGGGAGGCAAATTGATAGTGAGGCCACATTTACTGGGCTTACTATTCTGCAGCTATGCCACTATTCAACTCGCCGAGCCTTGCATCCACGACACCGTCTCTACATAGTTGCGGAAAATATGCCACCCTCAATTTTTGGTTCTACTATATCTAGGAATATCTCTGAAATCCCCAATTAGATAGTTTGTAAGTTTGGGGTTTTGTTTTGTTCGGATTTTGTGTCGCTTGAATAACAACATATTATCGCTCTTGCTGCTTGCTGCTTGCCGCTTGCTCCTAGGAATACGATTTCAGCTCTAGCGATGGACTTCCGCAAAAGTGTTCTAGACCCATCGATCATGCCTGCTATATGGTGTAGCCGCCATGACGATACGTGCGGCCCCTCATTTGCGTAACATATTCTAACTAGCAATCAGAAATACCTCATTCTAGCTAAAGTCTGATATGACTTCCTAGGAGTTCTCAGACCTTATATGCCACCGCAATGTGATTGATGAGATGATATAGATCCTAGGAGCTTTAGTGCCAGTACCCATTTGCGAGACCTGTGACTGCTAACGCTTAGAGTCAAAGTATATAAAAGAAACACTGATCCCTCCTAGAGTGAACATATCCAAGTTTCAAACATTTCCCCTCAACGTCTCATCAAGACTGCTCGTAAATACAAGCAACCGTCGGCATTCCGGGTCTGTCTCTTTCTAGCCCCTCGGCCAGAGCAAAAGCATGACTATTATGCAGATTTTCTGATGCTACAAACCAAACTGACAACCTGGTCGATATCCAAATATTTCATCCGGTGAGAGTTGCAAGATCGTTTCCCGCATTGATTTAATTCCTGAGACCTGAGTTTGTTATATGTGGCCAAGACCTAACGGGGAGATGTAAGTGACTCACTAATGTACCAAGGGGAGCGCGAGAATTTGCAGGGTGCCTGTGGCTGACTGAATTCAATAACATAAGATCCACTGAGATCTGAGAAGGAACAAAACCTAGCTTGATTTCTCGGTCTGATTACACTTACTAAAACCCAACTTACTTGCAAATGGAGTGCTTCGCCCGGTTGAGCTGGACTAACAATAGCCCTTTCCACGCAAGTGAGCTTGATCCGCGACGCCCGTTCTTCTCCATCAATTGCCAGATATCGACATAGACCATTGGCTGTGAGATATCCGAGGCCTTCACGAATTTGGTGTAAATGCTACTTGAGATGCTTAGAAATGAGCTCTCGCCTCTTCCATCACTCATGAGCACGTGTCCAATATGACTATATATAATCGGTCGCCACCATAATCGAGGGCCTCGCTTGATAGTCTTCAGTCTTTATCATTCTACTCTGGCTTATAGGCCTCCTTATGCCCCCTGGCCCTAGCCTATCCGACCATGCTTCTTCGTGTCGTAGGACTTGGAAGCCTTCAATCGAGTCATGATGTTCAAAATTGTGCTCGAATTCTACAGTAATAGGGGAAGTAAATGTGGAAGGGACAGATGTTTTGTCTATCTCCATGGAGTTTCCTATCAACTGCAATTTTTATTTCTTACCAGCTTCAAACCTCACTTGGTTGTGCCAGCTAATTTATTTATAAGGACCGTGATTAATGTGAGAGATGAGCCAACATCGCCACTATGATGCATCTCATTTTACGGAGCATGAACAATGGGAACAAAAGGTGAATTTCAGAAAGATCAAACTTCGAATATACACTGCCCCTGGTGGTGGTTGCCAGCAAGATACACCACTCCCAGCTAGATATTCCCATGCAGCATACCCCGCGTTTGGGCCGCATTGCATGGCTGCCTTTTTCCCTCATGTCTGTCCATAGTGTCTACCTCTCATGTATTTAAGTAGAACCCCCCCCAATATTCTCTGGTCCTTTAACAATCAGCCCTGACACGATTTGACACTTTTGGATCTCTTTCGTTGACCAACAAGCTTCAACTCCGCAAGTCAACCATTCTTCTAGTCCCCAAGCGTTGTACAAGTATACTATTACCGAAGATGAACGACCAAGCCTCGAACTTCGCCAATCCGGAACAGCCTCATATCGCAATTCAAAGACCACCTCGTTGCCTCCACTGTGGTGAAGATACCGTGATAGATTATGTACTTCTATGGAATGAGAATGGCAACGGTGATCGTCCTTACTACACTTGCTCTGACTGTGGAGAATTCTCCTGCTTCGGAGATATGCGAGGTGTATTGGCGGAAAATCCCACATGCTTCTGCAACGACGGGATGCAATTCAGCAGACGTGCCATATCAGGTCCAGACGGCGGAAGAGCGGGAATTCCGCGGTCGATCTTCTATCAATGCGCCACAGGGGGATGTTACTTCTGGAAGAATATGACGAACGACTGGGGCGGAATTTTGATTTATCCTGGTCCAGTCACCAGACGCGATTTGGTATCTGAGGGGTTCTGAGGGACTCACCCCTGTATGAGGTACGCTTTGGTGCCTTTTCATCTCACATAAAACAGCATCGATAAATGGCTTTGTTGAAATGACATGTTGATTAATAAGATGCTGACCATTGATGCGTATTTGGGAAGCAGCTATTTCGCAGAAAGGCGCGTTGATTCTTGATTGAAGGTTATGCATTCGTTCTCTGACTTCACTTCACGTGATGAGAGTATTTATTCTACAAATATGCTGTGTCGTTCGTCTCCGGCCAATTCGAGTTTGTTGTGCATAGATAGTTCGAAATTGCGGTAAATTTCTGCGGAGATAAATGATCGTAACTTTGTTGCCTGCTACTTCAACGGCCATCTGAGACGCAGAAAAAGACTGGCTCTATCTTGTCGCGAATGAGATCAAACTTTGAAGCAGAAAGCCTCAGAGGTAAATCCTTAAATCGGGCGTGTGACTCTTGGTAAAGTATAGACGGTGTGATGTTGAAAGAATAGTGGTTTACGGACAAAGAAAGGGAGGAGCACTGGGTGATAGGGAAGGCAGTTTCGTGTAAATTACATTGTCGACGTTCGGAATCGTATTGTAGATACTATTCCTATCTAAGTAAGCGGTTTGAGGGGCGAATTGGCACCCGAGTTCTCCATATTGGGACTAGCGCTTGTAGGATCCTTGCTCGGGAACCAAGAGGGAAGAGTGTACAGGTATCGCTGATTTCGAAAAGTACTGTACGTATGGGACTTTACATTAGTATTCGAAATCAGTTATACTCCCGCGCTCTTAGGAATTGATTCCCGGAGAATGAATTCAGCCGCCGTGAGTCCTGATAGGATGAGCCAGAGAGGCTCCGCCGTTCAGACCGCTTTCTGGTTTTGATGAAAATTTAACAATACCTTGCCACGACAACAAAAAATGTATTTTTCGCGAAAGTGCTATACGCATGCGCCTCTCAATCCATGGCAGGAGCCAGGTTCCCTCTCCCACCCACATCTGTCTGTCTTCGAGCTTTCATACTCAAAATCACACCAGCGATATGGCTCCTAGATCTCCTACTTGGAAGCTTCATCTGATTCGTGATATGATAGAGAATCACTCTCCTATTGTGTGATTTTACTGCATATCCATGTCGTACGGCCCCGTTTATTGGCAGTGAAAGTGTTTCTCCAACATAAGTGGCGGCGGTCCGAGCCACCTATGAGTGCCTAAGATGATGCTAACTCGGGCAATGATGATTGCACTAAGAGTGGACCAATTATACAGCTACACGCAGCTGGGCAGCAGCCATGGAGCTACGGTCCCTTAACAACTTTCGAACGCTGATAATTATAAAGATAGCTCACCACACCCGGAGTAATTCATATAAACCTCTATAGGATTGTCATTTCTAAGAAGTCGATTCTGCACCCAAAATTTTGACTTGCTTTCTCCCGCACATAATTACCCAACAGTGAGCAATATGAGTGTTGATCAGGGTATGTCAAAATCCCAAGGCTGGTTTAAGGCCACAAATATTGAATATTCTCCAGATGCGACCCATCTTGTTGAAGTAAGAGAATCAGGAAGCAAGGGATTGGGCGTGTTTGCGAGATCCAACATCCCT